AAAGAGAAAGGGGTCAAAGGGCTGGACTTGTGTCGGGTTAACAATCAAGAAAGTATGACCGCAGCAAAGGGACTGACAGCCCGTCCACTCAATCAGGTGTTCCGCGAATTGATGGCTATTAAGAACAGTTGATGGAGTACTCGCTGAATGTAAGTGCAATCCTAAGGGTATGACTATTACTTATTTAAAAATAATATAAGCATGCTAATATTTATGCAAATATTGTTTGAATTAATACAGCACCGGAACTGCGAATATTACTGTACTCTATGGAAGTATGGGAAGGGGTGGTCGACCCAAGTGACTATAGTGGAGATGTCAGTGGGTGTGACTGCTACGGGAGTAGGTGTAGGCGCCGTGGTTGTCGGTGCAGTGATCGGTGGTTCTACGGCTATTATAGCCATACCCTGTGGGCTAAGCCTGTTGTTGGCGGTGATGGCCTACTTTGGCGTCAAGTGGTTGTGTCCCGAGAAAGCCATTGGTGTCCAGAAGAGTATCAATAGAAACACCAAACTATTGGTTAGATATGTGTCTCCGCCATAAGGCATACGCTATAATAATACTGTATCTCATAATTTGGTAACTGTTTTATGGTTTAAAATATATTTACATTTATTTTGTGATTATTTCAAGCATTTATTAAAGTTATCAAAATTCAAAAAAGTTTTTAATTCATTGTATACTTTACTTTTTTAATTAATTTAATTTCTAATCATTAAAAAATATAGCAACTAAAAATTATTATTTTAAAGCATATTTATTGCTTAATTTTATTTGTGGGGAAAGTATTGGTATCATACAAACTGTATTAAATTTTATTCATTAGGTCTCATTGAAAATGACTTATGCAAAAATTGAGTGAAAAGTAAAGATTTATTCATTGCAAAAACATTTATCAAACATTTTGTAAATAATGTTTAAAATGTTATAAAATGAATAAATCTTTACTTTTCACTCAATTTTTGCATACATTTAATGAATTATTTTTGATGCAATCCGTAAGCTTTCGGTCCATTTATACCTGGCCATTACGGCCAACCCTATCAAATTAAGGACCAGGGACATTTATATTATGTTTCTATTTTGTACTAACTATCACCATGCCAATTTTAAAAGAGATCGGGGAGTTTGACTTGAAATCAAATGCTTGTAAGTGTATTAATATAGCAGTGAATTAAGTCATTATCAGTTTATCAGTGAATCAGTTTATTAAGAGCACCTAATAAATTAAATAACTTTAACTTTGATAACAATTTGAAATCCCATTGAATGCAATGTATTTTAAAGTTATTTTATATAAATAACAAAAATATCACATTTTGTGTGAATTTAGTGTTTGTCTGTAATGTAAACATTATCCAATAGATCTGTAATACAGATAAAAATCTCCCAAACATTTGAAATACACTCTACAGTCTATATTAGATAATGTGTACAGTTATACTATAGACAATTAATAATAAGATTATAAAAAGCTCACTAATTGACATAAATCTAAAATATGATAAACTAAATTACGTTTAAAAACTTTTGATTTGTATATTGTCTACAACATAAAAATATAATAATATTAATTAAATTAAACTGATGTTTAAAAACAATATCGATTATAGACTGTATTTTGTAACCAAATGTAAATCACATGAGTTGTGAAATTCATTGCAAATCATTGCATACAAAGTGTGAACGCATTGTGTGTTTGCTTTCAATTGCTTTCAAGTCTTCATTCATTTGAACACTAAATCCAAACCAGATTTCAATACAATTTAATTAAAAACTTTTGTGTTCAACAAATCATAGCTAAATAAAAATTTCCATAAAATTTACGTATTTGTGTCTAATCTTAATAGTTATCAAACTTTTGTGTAAAATCTTATAAGTGTTTCATAACTTACCTTAAGGTAATCAAAAATTATATTTAAAATTTATTTAAAAAGTAATTAAAACATAATATGATATTAAATCATACATAGGCTCGGCGTGTGTGGGCACGTGTTGTGTGCGGACTATGGGATCGGTGCTGTCGACGGGATCGGTGCTGTCGCCAATGGCCTCATTTGGCACTCACCCCCAGATCTACGAAGTGGTCAATCGCGGAGATATTATCGAAATCCAGATGTCTTGGGGTTACAAACATTGGGTGATCTGTGAGTACAAAAGTGGTGGTAATGTCTGGTGCTATCACTTGGCACCGGGGGTTGGGTCGTCGGCCGCCAAAATGTTCCTCAGAAAAGTACCACTGCTTGACATACTGGTAGACGA